GACGACATCCTCGAGCGAGTAGCTGCAGACGTTAAGGAGTATGAACGCGAGAATCTTAACACCTTCGAGGCCAACATTAAAGCCAAGCACAACCTCATCGCCCAGGAGAAAGACGGTAAATGTCGTGCTCAGCGTTAGCACGTGTGTTGGCGTACAAGGCCAACTGAATGAACCGCACCATTACATGTGTGCTCTGTAGGTAAACCGCAGCTGTCCACATGTAATGGTGATATTTGTGAAGGCTTGAGGCCTACTGTGACAAAAATGATCACTCTTTGATACATGCACTGGAATCGTTCAGATTTTTATAGGAACCAAAATGGCAATTTAAAAAAAAATGCTCTTACAATCAAGTTTTCTCCAGTTTCATCACAATGAGTTCAGCAGATGCGGCGGAGGGAGTTTATAAACGTGAAAACCGATTGGTAGTATCTTCTTCCTTTTTAAATTGATTGACTCATAAATGTGCAGTAATATGGATTCTTCCCTGCAGTTCAGAAAAATCTGGCTCTTTAGTGATTGTGATATAAACTGGTCAAAAGATGCCAGTGTAGAAAACAAACAACAACAAAATGACGTGGTATGATTTGTGTAAGAACCACAGAGTTGTGTGATGCAGGGGTTTTAATTTTGTTTCTTTCTGTCATGTGTTCATTCAGTTGCTGGCTTGTAATCCAAAGCCTGGGTGTCTCTGCAGCACCTGCAGCATGTTTTGATCTCTGCAGAGTATGTGAATCAAACACATGTTCCAGATATTCTGTTTTACAACACCGTGAGCAACCAGAAACCCGTCATGTGGTGTTTTACTGTTGTTCTTTGTTCCAGGAGCCAATCCAAAGAAGCCTTCAGCCCCCGACATGTTCATAGAGTCAGACGACATGTTTGCTGCGGACTTTGATGTGAGTATTAGAACATGTTTCTCTGCGTTTCATTCTCTATTTCACGGGCCTGGTCTTGAGGTTTAGAAGAGAACAACAAAATAATAGGAAACGCTGACTTGATTCTTGTTTCTGCAGAATGCCAGGATGAGAGCAGCAGGAGTAGGGAAGGACTTCAAGGAGAACCCCAACCTCAGGGACAACTGGACGGACGCTGAGGGTTACTACCGTAAGTGATGCCTCTTGAATTCTTCGACTCTGAACGCTTGTTTGAAGATGTGGCAACATACATATAAAACTTAGTAATTTCTTCTGTCTAGACTTTTCAATATGATTATCTGAGTTGACTTTGTCTCTTTCTTTTATTATTAAGGGGTGAACATCGGGGAGACCCTGGACAAGCGCTATGACGTGTATGGTTACACGGGCCAGGGAGTGTTCAGCAACGTGATCAGGGCCAGGGACACTGCAAGGGGCGGCCAGGAGGTGGCAGTCAAGATCATACGAAACAACGAGCTCATGTGAGTGAACTAAGAACACGAATGTCAAACGAAACCAGTAGAGATGCAGCTCTGTCTTTGACTGGGTTTGCATTGATGAACATGTATGATTTTTTTTATTTTTTTTGTGTGAGCAGGCAGAAGACCGGTTTGAAAGAGTTAGAATTCCTCAAGAAGCTGAATGACGCAGATCCGGACGACAAATTCCACTGCCTTCGTCTTTTCAGGCACTTCTACCACAAGCAGCATCTCTGTCTGGTGTTCGAGCCTCTCAGGTACTGAAAGAGGAAACACAACCTCCTCCCTCTCAGAGTCTGTGCATCATTTGGTGGTCGGAACATTCTTGTGATGCTGAATTCTGTGTTCCACAGTATGAATTTACGAGAGGTGCTGAAGAAATATGGCAAAGATGTGGGGCTCCATTTCAAGGCCGTGCGATCCTACAGCCAGCAGCTCTTCTTGGCCCTCAAGCTGCTCAAACGATGCAACATCCTCCACGCTGACATCAAGCCAGACAATATCCTGGTATGATTCTAAATACTCTTAAACTCAAGATAGATACTAGAATGATGAAACAAGCGACTAATCTCCCTGTTGATGAAATGGAAATTGAAATTTATACGATTCAACCAGTCATTAAGTAAGAAAACAGCCAGGATCACAGCCAAGTCAACCAATTGTTCATATTCCTTATCTGTACTGATGTGCTTGTCTGTTTTCAAGGTGAATGAGTCTAAGACCATTCTGAAGCTGTGTGACTTTGGTTCTGCGTCCCACGTTGCCGACAACGACATCACACCGTACCTGGTCAGCAGGTTTTACCGAGCTCCAGAAATCAGTACGTTTCATTATTTGTTTAAATCACTGATCTCACCGTTTCAAAAAGCTGAACCTGCCTCACAGTTTCTCTCTGTTACAGTCATCGGAAAGCCGTACGACTACGGCATCGACATGTGGTCTGTCGGCTGCACTTTGTACGAGCTCTACACTGGGAAAATCCTGTTTCCTGGATCTTCCAACAATCACATGATCAAACTGGCGATGGACCTGAAGGGCAAGATGCCCAACAAGGTGAAATTTCATCATATCATTTCAGCTCCTTTTTAGTTGTTTGTCCAAGAAGTGATGACTGATGCAATAACGTGGGTTTCTCTCCTCAGATGATCCGTAAAGGTTTGTTTAAAGACCAGCACTTCGATCAGAATTTGAACTTCCTGTACATTGAAGTCGACAAAGTAACAGAAAGGGTAAATTGTTCAGACTCCTATCTACAAAACATTTCCTATAATTTTAACAAACAAACCTAAATGTTATTTTCCTGTTTTGGATCTAACATGCTCTGTATTTATTTCTCGGCACCATCAGGAAAAGGTGACGGTGATGAGCACCATCAACCCCACCAAAGACCTGCTGGCGGACATGATAGGAGGCCAGCGACTGCCCGAGGACCAGAGGAAGAAGGTGATGCAGCTGAAGGACCTGCTGGACTCCACCCTGATGCTGGACCCAGCCAAACGCATCACCATCAACCAGGCTCTGCAGCACCCCTTTATCCAGGAGAAGATCTAACACCCTGAACGCCACACGTACTCCCAGAGCCGACGGAGAAACAACCACTAAACCAGCTCTGACAGGGACTCTGCAGCCGGCCCACAGACGTCTGTCCAGAACATCATGGATTGTTTTTGTTCGTCCTCATGGATTCAAAATTGTGTTTTATTGTAAATAGATCATTGAAATGGTAGCCATTGAAAACATTGATTTTTCTTCCCTTCACACAATGCAGTCACGGACTCTTTTTTTATTTAACTGGCATCGGAGTGAAAACTGTTTAAAAGAAGAATATAATTCCTGTAAATAGCGCTGTGTCTATTGCATTAACAATCTGAAGCAGAAGACGGCTGAGTTTTGTTATAGTTGCAGACATCTAAATACATCGTTCTTTTTTTAACCACATTGCTCATTGTGGGGCGATGCATGCTTTTGAATGTGCACCCTTTGTGCTCTAGATTCCTGTGGTGCAGGCCTGTGTAAATGCTCTGTCTGTGCATCAGTGTCCCACATGTGACAGCAGCTCCCCCCTCGATCCTCTTCCCCAACCAAGTATCCAGACCTTCAGGTCTGCGCTGAAGGAATAGCTGCATACTATGTACTCCTGACAAAACTTTTTTTTTTTTTTATAATTTCAGTGCAGATAGTCATTGTTTTCTGTTGCTGGATGTTTCTGTGTTTGTTATTTTTTTTACCCTCTTCTCCCTCCAGCTCTCTGGCTCGGTCCTGGCTCTTAAGGCTCTCACATTCAAGTGCCTCCTGTTTGAGCCTCGTGTGTTAAAACATTGCTGGCCCGTTGAAGCCACACCTGAGACCCTTCTCTCCACTGCTGTAAATAGTTCATATAGCTTCTGTCATTTCTTGTATGATTCTTTTGTTTTTTTCCCATTTATGTGGTTAAAAAAAACAATCTTGTGATTTCAATAAAGAATAGTTGTGGAAACGCTGCTGAAAGAGCACCTTCAATATAAGATGTTTTTTAGTAATAAAATGTTTCCTATTGTAACCAAACCCCCTTTCTTCGTTTTATCCCCAATTATGGGCGTGATGATGTTTCTTACATCAGTAGTTTGATTTACTGTTAATGTGTTTTCTAAGCAGATAAACAGCCGAGTACATACATTCACATCTCACTGTCCAAGAATGCTTTTATGAGATCCTTCCCTGTGAGTCTAGTCTGAAGTAAGTTAGATGGAATATTTGGGGGGAGAAAAATGTTTTTGACTCGACTGCTGCAGCCTCTGAGCATCAAAAGTAAAAAACGATCTATCTTACATCCAGTTGCAACAATTTCCGTGCTCTCATGCTCCTTCTCTGCAGCGGAAAAGCAACCGTGCCCATCATTTCCCTCACATGATTGCGCGAGTGTTGAGCTTCTAAAAAAGCGTAATGGGAGACTCGCTTTAGAAAAGATTTGAGCATTTTACTGTCTGGAAGGTTGTGGCGTGATGCAAGATGTGGGATGAAGGACTTCTGATTGGAGCTGATGGGCCGCTGGCCTGAAGTCATCTGTGGAATAACCACAGTGAAGAGGCTGGTGTGAGTGGGGAAGGATACTTACAAGTACTGGCTTTAATCTCAGCAGAGGGACGAGGGCGTGACTGCTTTTAATCTGAATAAATAACCAAACATAACTGCCAGCAAATCAAAATAAGATGAAATCCACACTGCAAAGCTTCTGCCGTACAACAGTTGTAATTTCTTGTGACGATCAGAAGAGGGCATCACACGCACAAGGTATCTCCATGAATGAATGAAGTCATTGAGCGTTTGGCATTTAGATTGTATATTTTGTTTATTTGAAATGAGAAAATTGTTAAAAAATGTTTGAGCAAACTTCAGACCACATGTGTCTTGGCACAGATTTTTTAATTAGTTTTTAAATAAAGCTCACATGTTTGCATAAATGTGATCCTATTAAAATGACTTTAGTGTTTCTGTGGAAAATAATGGAAGTTGTTCTAATTATTTTTTATTTTTCTATCTTGGGTTAGTTGGGAAAAAAAAGCAATTCAAACCAGAGCATTTCATATGATCAGACCAGCTTATAAAGAGGAAAAGAGACTTAAAATATAATTTCCGTTTTTATTAAAACCATACAAACATTTGTATTCAGTTATAAAAGAGCAAAGTGGCTCTTCTGGCGGAGGGGCAGCGCTGGGCACTTGAAGCTCCGCTCTGAGCCAGATCTGTCTGGCCTCCACCCAGGGCCTGGGAATCCCTGTTTTTCAAAGTCAGTTCTTTACAGGCCCCAGGATACTCCCCCATTTCCTCCGCTAAAACCTACAGAAAGAGTATTGTATTTACATATAATATATAAAAGCACAATAAATGTGAAAACTTGAAAAAAAAATAAAATAAGGAAAATCAAAGAAAAGTAGAATGCATTCCGCAAATCTTAACTTTTCTGATATTCAGACTTTTCTTATATAAATGTTCTAAGAATTTCATCTTTTTTTTTTCCAGGTCTCACGAGACACTTTACATGTTTGTTTAGTATTTTTTTTCATAATTCACAATGGAAGATTGGCAGTGATCTCTCTCTTTACCGACAGGCAGATTACGTATAAGGCACATACCTCAGTGTAATTTCCTTCTTTCAAAGGAAATGATTTCTACTTTTTTTTTTTAAAAGAAAAAAGAAAAACACCATCAATGCACGGCTACAAAATGACAAAGTAGTACCAAAGAACAATAAAACAACTTGTACCTCATTGTTTTGATGCTGAATAAAAGGTAAACTACTCGATATTCTGTGCGCAGCCGCGTGCGACTGCAAGGCAACACTAACGCTGTTGACAAAGTCACTGCAGTGCTCGGTGGCAGTACACATTCTGAATTAAAGAGCTTTGGAGAAAAACAATACGAATGATTTCCTGTGGAACAAAACACATCATTTTACAGCACTTATCATCAATGGGAGGAAAATGTGCTGCGGACCACTGGCGGTCGTTAAGATAGATTAAAACCAGAAAGTACTCGTATCAGTTCATGTAAGCAAACAGAAAGCACCAAGTGTCACCTTTGATCATCGAGGAGGAAATGTCCATTTTCACATCAGCTCCAAACAACCGTGCAATCCAACATCAAAAAAACCCCGATTATCACAAACAATAGAAAAACACTGTTATATACACTTGTGAGTACCTTACGCCATTTAGATATATCAAGGAGACGGCTATCTTCGGCGCCTTGTAATGTTGTGTCCAATTATTGGACTCCATACCGTCGGGACAAAAACACCACTTGGTAGAAGTTGGTAGAAGCACTGAAACATTTACAGATTCACAAAAGCAACATACAAACAAAAGGACAACAAATGTAAATATACCACTTCTGAAAACGTATGATATATAAAGTTATCACCAGGGTCTGTTCATTTAACCTGCTAGATTTAGAGCTTGTGTACCTGTGGGATCAGAAGTGTAGATACTCGGCACATGGGCTCGTCTATGTACGTATTTAGACAGTGTTCAATGTTTAACCTTAAACGCATGCATTTGTTTTAACCAACAGTGTGTACAGCAAAAACAGTGACAATACACAGAATACTGTTTTAAAGACGTGAGCTTTTGCTCATCATCACATAGAAATACAAAGAGAAGGGCTTCCAAAAATAGCCTTCATTCCAGAAAAGGAATATAACTATTTAACTATACATAATTTTGACACATCCCATTTCTTTGCGGGATGACTTTTTTACAAAATAAATGAGTTTTGGCGACTGCCTATTCTGGAACATTTTACGTACATAATAAAGTTCTCATAATTGCCACTTTTGTCTTCATCTTCACATACACCAGAGTTCGTCTCTTCCTTTTTTCCATTTTTCCGAACAGAGGAGAGAGCAGAGAGACGGAGAGAGAGCAGCTACTGCATGATAGCCAGGAACTTGCTCTCCTCAGCCAGCGTGGTGAGGAGAGAGCTCATGTCTCCGATGGCCATGTTGTTGAGGCCAGGGGCGACACTGTGGAAGGTCGCGGATGCTCGAGGGGTGGTCAGGCGTGATGAGGTTCTGGACAGGCCCTGAAAGATGGAGGGACTCAACACCCCTGAAACCAAGCTACCCTGATCGTAGCCATCCTCCAGCATGACACCAAAGTCCAGGCTTACCCCCTCATCGAGCACACCAGGCACATTGCCATCCACCGTGCTGGTCACCTGGTCTGCACCAGGGGAGAGAAGAGCAACTGAGTTCCCACTGCCGCTACCTTGTCCCACTGACTCAGCCATGGAGTCCAGCAGACACTGGTCCTCCAGGACAGGGAATGAGGACGCCTTGTGATCCGCTGCTTCATAAGAGAGGCAGTCACCAGTCACCTGCTCTAAGTATCCATTGTCTGGGGCCTCAAGCTTCAGCCCAGATACCTGATGTGCCAAGGAACAGTGGTCCCCACTCCTCTGCAGTTGTTGCTGCTGGTTGAGGCTTGCCTGGATTTCATTGGCGCTCTCAGCATTGAGGTATTGCTGGGTCCTGACCAAGTTCCTGTAACTGTTAATCGGAGGGTGAGGGACATGGATCTGCCGACTGTGGTGAAGGGTTGTTGCCTGGGAGAGGCTGGGGAGGTTGTCCATGGAGGCTCTGCTGAGGTTGAGGTTGTTCCCAACCTGACAAGAGGTGCTGCTACTGTGGTTCTGCTGCAAGTGGCTCTGTTTCTGAGGTCCAATAGAGACTTGCTGTCTGAAGCCCTGGAGAAGAGGCTCATCAACGGTCTGTGAGAAGTTCGGCCTTCCAAAGGTGTTGGTGGAGTTGTGACTAGTACCTCTCATGCAGGAGCTTGGCTGATTCTCTAGCTTCACTGCAGGGTTGCAGTAAGCACTCTGAGGCTGATTCGCTTGGGAGCAGCTGTTCGGGAAATCAAGGGACACTTGCTGCTGAACTACCATGTTTCCAAACCTACCGAAAGGTGCAGATACATTATGTTCTGTCCCCGACCACCTTCCACACTGTGGGTGATGGTTTTGTGCCCTCTGAGGAGACCTGTCAGCACTACCGGAGCTCACTTCATTCCACTGGATGGGAAGCTTACTGGGGCTCTTCCTTTCTGCCATCTGCTGCTGCTGCTGCTGCTGGAGACTATGGCACCCAGGGAAGGCTAAATTCAACCCTGATGTCTGGATCTGTTCCATCTCCTCCGCAGACGGATGTGAAGTGTCCCTTTGGTTAGAAGCTATTTGGTCCTCAATGTGCATGTAGGAGCCACCATCAACCTGGGAGTGGAGATACTGCACAAGGTCATCTGGTAGCATATCCTCATCCCCAAGCAACAGGCCAGCCTCGCTGTCATCCTCCATGGCCAGAGCCTCTAAGGCTGCATGTTCTGCGATGCTGGGAGTGTACGGTGAGTGCTGCAGACCTCTCTGCAGGTTGCCCTCTGAGCGTGTGTAGTTCTGTAGGCTAAAGTTACGCGTTTCAGGCGTAGAATGATGAGACAGAGGTGGAAGAGGGTGGAGGTTGTTAAGGCTGTTGAAGCGTTGCACTGGGGGCAGATTGCACATATCAGGAGCCTGCGTCCGGACTGGGTCACTGGCCCTGCGGTTTCCATTCAGTGGCCCCTCACCAGGATAGAGGACCCTCCTCCTGTACCCTGCATGTCCCATGTACCCATTGGTGTACCCGTTGGTGCCTTCGCCGCACTGATGTGGCCGGACTAGAGGTGGCAAACAGTGGTTGCTCCCAACATCATCCATCATGGCCATGCGAGTCTTCAAGCTCATGCGCTCCATGTTGGGCAGAGGCGTGGGGGGTGGGCCACCAGTTGCCGCTGCATACTTAGCTTTCAGGTGGTAGTGCTGTGCTGGGGTTAAATTGAGCATCCCCCGTGAGCCAGCTCCTCCTCCTATGCCTACTCCTCCTACACTTCCACAGCCCCCAAATGAGAATAGCCCTCCACCCCCGCCTCCTACCCCACCTCCATACTGGCTAGCCTCACTGGACCGGCGGGAGGCATCAGTGGAGATGGGGTCGTAAGAGTCACTGGAGCTGAGGTTGTGGAGGCGGCGGTGGTGGGTGGCTGCCATCGTGCCCTCATTTTGGGAAGCCTGGCTGGAGCGTCGGCTGGAGAAGCAGGGGGAGATGCCAGAGGAGCGTCGGCTGCTGCTCAGATAGGCCGAACTGGTCGCACTGCCGCTGCTGTCACGCCGGTCTCGGAGCAAATTGAGCACTGTTAGCTCTGTGCTTCCCAGCTCAGCATGAATGGGTGGCTGAGGAGCAGACACCCCCGACTGCCTGCCCAGACAGGATCCTGATGAGAAACACAGAGAGGAAAAAAATGGAAATGAAGCAAACGTACACAGAGATAGAGAGAACAAGGAAATTACGTGGTAAAAAGGGAGATAACAGGAGGATGAGAGGGAAGAAGACGAATAAGTTACGTTCAAGTGCAGAGAGATCCCTGAAAACAGATGTTACCACAGACAACTGGCAGCACTTAGCCATGAAACATTGTTACATGCTCTTCTCCCTGATATGATACACAGCTTGATATGGGTTTGATACCATTTTCCAGCATAAAATACATTTTAAGCCTTTGTTTTGCCCGAATGCTTCAGCCAAAAAAGACAAGATGGTGTTCTGGATAATTCCTTTTCCAAATGTCATGTTACACATATTTGTGGTGATGTGTAAATCTGGTGAGCAGGTGTTTTTTCACTGGAACATGCCTTTAAGAGCTCTCCATGTCAAATAAGGCTACTACAAGCAGTTTGTCAGGGCTGTGGGCCAAAGTAAAACTCTTCATACCCTCTTGGACCTTTGAATTTTCAAACTAAATGAAATTGAAAACAAGTTAAAAGTTAGCTTTATTTACCCTTCCCCAGGATGTTGGGCAATGTGGAGCCTTTGGGGGGCGGTGTAGGGGACAGGGGCCCCAGCCTGGGCAGTGCTCCGTTCACTTGCTTCAGCCTCTCCATCTTGATGTGCTCCATCCAGCGCACAGGGCGGCCGACACTTCGCCTCGCCTGCAGGGTCAGCATGGCCGCGGTTGCCGTGGAGACTGTGGAGTCCATGATGGGGGCGGGCTCGCCCTCGCACTCCTCCTCTGCCACCTCTTCGTTGTCCTCTTTCTCCTCGTCCTCCTCCAGCCCCTCCCCTGGCGAGCGTCCGGCGCTCACAGCAAGCTGGACTCCACTGCAGGGATAGTTGCTGATGGGGGACTGGTCACTGCTGCATGTAGACTGACCGCCAGGGCTTGGCTGAGACGTCTGACAGACAAAATTTCGGGAGGAGAGAAAGAAAAGAAACAAAAAATGAGGATGGTCATCAAGTTCTGTAACACAAGGAAAGTTATATACGGTGTCTTATGTCACAAACAATCATACAATGTAATGCTTTGAAGGATGCGTTTCGTATGATGTCAGAAAATGATAATTTTTCATATATTACTCAGGAAAAAGAAAGTGTTTGCTCAACAAAGTTTTGAACATCACTGAGACATGAGTAATGCCTCCTCCTGTGATCCACTGGGGACGTTTCAAAAATGCTCCTAAAGAGAAAATTATGTCTTGCGTAGTTTTCAGAGGTTCAGCAAATAGGATAAAGGCCTCTTGTGAGACTCGCTAGTGCCTAATTAGGTTGTTTACTGAATCTTAGAAACTATGATGCACGGAGGAATAATGGAATCACTTTTTTTGGCATCAAGTGTCGGCAGTGTTTAAATGGTATTCGCCCTGTTTCCTATTGAATGGATTTGGCTGCACAGTGGAGCCCTTGACAGTATCAGACATTTTTGAAATTGCTCACAGTCCAGAGAGAAATGCATCGACTTTTGTAGATTTTATGAATGTGAGGGATGAACGAAACCTACGACGGCAACAAATCTTAATATGCAAGTGGGTGAAAAGTGTCATGCAGATGTCAGAGGATGAGAAGAAGTAATAAAGAGACTAGACTTTACAGATATAATGTGAAGGGACACCTATCTCACCTGATTACCCACTGTCCTTAGAAAGAAAGGGAAGAACATGCCGTAGCATTGAACAGAAGAAAAGATTTACTCGTTAGAAGACGTCAAGGTTTAATGTGCATGCCCTCAATTCAGTGTGAAATCGGACACAATAGAAATACTCAGATTATTATGTAAAGAAATTAGTTGTTAAAGTATTAAAGGAGATATAATGTTAAAAGTGTGAGCGTCAGGTAGTAAATTGGTCATAAAGGCTGAAATGAAGTCTTACCATTGGCTTCTCTGTCTTGATGGACTTGACCTGCAGACAGTCATCTTGTTTTGAGGTAGCGTGGTTGTACTCCCTTTGGTCTGTGTACCCACCCAGGGGCAGTTGCCCCGGCGACCGACCCTGGCCGTTGCTCCCTGGCTCCCGTGGCTGGGGCGGAGGGCGCGGGTAATCTCCACGCTGTTTCTTTGTGACGTGCGCCTCCGGCCCGTGCACCGTCTTCACGTGCTTGCGCAGGGAGCTGGGGTCTGTGTAGCGTTTGGTGCAGCCGGGGATTTTGCACACGTACGGTTTCTAAAAATGAAAAGAGGAAGATGAGAGGATGAGGAGCATATAAACATCTATCCACCAATTCCAGAAATCTGATCTCAGCTTCACACTTGGCATGACTATTGTTAAGGGCCCAAGGAAGTGCATTTTGTGATTTGGACATGTGATGAGTTCAATATTAATAAACGTTGGGTTCTGTGTGCCTGCAGCAACCAGCATCACCACAGGCCAAACAAACAGACAGGTTTAGAATGGGCACTGCATGAGTTTTAGTCAAGAGTGTGAAGTTGTTTGTCAGTACCTCATTGGAGTGTGTGCGATTCTGATGTTTTGCCCGATCGGAAGCGTTGGAAAAGGCCTTGTTGCAGCCCTCGTGCTCACACACATATGGTTTCTCTCCAGTGTGGGAGCGTAAGTGAGTCTTAAGGTTTTCCAGACGGGAGTAGGCCTTGCTGCAGCCCTCGAACTACAGGGAGACAGAGCAGAGTGAGAGGAGCACCAGCATGTTTATGTAAAACAGCTTTTTATCTGCAAATAAATTAAGTCCACTGAGCACACAGGAGGATGCTTACTGTGCACTTGTGCGGCTTTTCCCCGGTATGCCTGCGCATGTGGACCACCAGCATGTACTGAGCCTTGAAGGGTTTCTGCTCTCGAGAGCATTCCTCCCACCGGCACACGAACTCTTTCTTTTCCCCGTGGATGTGGTCGTTGTTGATGTGCTAGAAAAGAAAGATAAGAAAAGTTAAACCAGAGCAACTCCTGCATCATTAGAAGATATTTGCTGTGTGCGTACACAAGAATGGAGAAAGGAATAAGTGCTATGTAATTTGGCTTCAAACTGACGTTCAGCTTGAGGGACGTTTTGCCATGCATAAAGACAAATATGACGTTTTTTCATCCCTTTGCATGTGGTTCTTTTAATTTCTTCCATCACATCTCTCTTAAATCTCTCCCCCTTTTCTTTTTTCCTCCCTCGCTCTGCTGAGATCTCCACAAAGACCAAGGCAAAGAAGGCAGACTTGTGAGCCTCGCTGTCCAATCTGACCGGGATTTTCAAATAAAACCCTGTCACTTCGCATCACATCGGGGCCCTCGCCCCTCCATGACAAGTGCTGACAGTTGTGCTGCCGTGGCAACTTCCAATCTGAGGCTTAGGAGGCAGGGGAGGTGGGAGGGAGGTGCGGAGATAGGGCGAGAAATCTAAAGTTCAGTCGATTGTGGGGGCTTTACAACTCCAGCCAAGCATTATATTTGTGCACGCCACCTTTCTTTCGCGCCAAGCCCCTTTTCCTCTATCTTTCTTCTTCTCTTCTCGCAAACTGTCTCGTAAAACGGGGTAAATGGTGGATGTTACAGAGGAATGAGGGAGGTTGAAGAGGAAAAAAAATACATCCAGACGTTGGCCCCTCTGGGGATGAAGTCAACATCTGGCTCTCTTTCATAGACAACACTGTGTGGTGGCCTCTGAAGTGCCTCTCTGAGAGCAATTTAAACCCAGGGAGACAGACACAATATCCTGACCTAAAGAAACCGGTATTATTACATTCCTGAGCAGCGAAGAAGAATCTTTTTACCTCGGGGGTGAATGAAGAGGCAACAGGAGAGATGGAGGGGAGATAAATAGAGACTTGACTTTGAATGCTCTTAAATATCTGGGGGAAACGTGCTTTCTTTGAGCACTTACTCGCAAGATTGTCAAGCTTTAAAACATGCAGCAGGGACCAAAGCTCATAAAGCATCCAGGGTCAGTTCCCCTCCAGGCATGACACTGCTCTCACAATCGTATCTTTGTACCCTCCCGCTGCCCTGCCCACCGGCCAGGTCATGACCCGACGTAGAACTGTGACCCTGGCATCCAGCAGAAACCGCCCTGCTTTTAATCTTCAAGTCATTTTGACCCCAGAGTCTCTTCTTAGTACAAAACCACCGCTCTCACCCCCACCCCCCCCGAGTAGCACTGAAGGAGGAGAATCGACAAATGAGTCAGCGCAGTAACAGCATTGTGCGACAGCAAAAGCACAGAGTAATACTGACACTAATATATCCGCAATGGACCGCCATTATTCTCAGTTGACATTTTTTAATTCTAAAGTGACAAAACAAGACTAATTCCAGTGAAAATGATTGGGGACTGGATGACCACGGACATTAGTGAAGTTTCCCCAAGATTGATCTCCTCCCCACCTCGGTCGGAGCCTCAGAGAACCTGACTCGTCCTCTCCCTCTCTGTGAGGGAATCCCTGTGGCAAGCGATCGGTCTGTTGTGAGCAGCGTTCAATATCCGCTGGCTGAGAGCGATGGGGAGAGCGCTGTGGTGCTGGATCACGCCGGTGGCTGGCACAACACGAGTTCACGCACGAAGTGTACGCACACGCATACACACACACAGATGGATACACACTCGCACCCTGTTTGTACAAATGAAGGAGGTGGTTGACGGGTGTGATGCATGAGCCTCTGAGCTGACAGAGAGGGGGACAGACAGCACGGGGAGAGGGGCCGCCGAGAAACCTAATGGCATGATCTAATGGCAATTTTTATTGAATCAATAATCTCCATGCTGAGCAGACAGGCCCCGATGGCCGGCTAAATCGACAAACAGGTGCTGATAGCGGCAGCGCGGCAGGTTATTCATCTTCCCCCTGCCAGCTTATCGGCCAACAACTGTAAAAACGCCACCAAGATGGATTTAGGAGGGAGTCGCACGACAGGGAGCGCCGGCGACACGGACACAGGGGACACTGAAGCCGCCTGTGACGTATGAGAGGTGCAGACACACACACACGCACACAGACACACACACAGGTGCAGACACTGTTTTCTTGGTCCAGACCCCTGCTGTTTAGGTGTATGGTAAAAACATCCATAAACATTAACAGCACTAAAACACACAAACGGTTTTGTTTTCTAATAAAAAAATAAAAAGCTTCTGATTTCAAATTATTTTCTGTCCCTCTCATCCAGCATCCCTCTCCATACATTCCTGTAAAACACTGAATCCTATCTTTTTGTTTGTTTTCATTTTATATCCCAGCATTTTCCCACTTCAGTATCCATCTCCATGTCTCCTTATCAAACTCTCTCTGGGACACAGCCCTCGTGCATTAGAATGCAAGCGTGCATGAAAAGAGGGCCTGTTTACAAGGCAATTTCACTAAGCTGTGGGACCCGCAACACCGTTTAGCTTTATCAAACACTGCCTAATAAATCATATGCTCTTTTGTGATGTCAGTTGCTGAAGTGCTTTGTGTAAAGAGAGGGGAAAAACAGCATGAAAAAGGCAAAGTAGGGAGGGAGGGAGGGAGGAAGAACAAGGGGGGAAAGATTGAGTGAGTGAGGGAAGGAAGGGGGGAGGATGAGAGTAAGTGCGTGAGCGAGCAGGGGGCAGGGAGCTAGAATTGGCATGTGTAATTCAGCACAGTCTTTTCATCTTAGAGTAAGATACTCGAAACAGATAAGGGGCCTAATCCTTCTCCTGATCAAAAAAAATCTGCATTTTACCAATTAAAGGCCTGCGCCAGCAGCCAGAGAGGGGGGCCGCCTTTAGACTACACCCACGTTTATCTCGCCGCAACACCGGGGAGGCGCACAGCAGCCGCCTCAGCAAGGCTGCGTGCAGGGAGAGCCGGGGCAAGGACATCACAACGCCTCCTATTGAGATGACCTGGAACAGAACGGTAAGACTGCGGTGGGTAGAAAAAGGCCTGATGAACTGTCAGAACACACACAGACAGACCACCAACCCATCACACGCCCCACATGTCGTCTTCAACGCAAAATCAGTCACCTGCCAGCTCACGACCACACGACAACCTGGACTGAGTTTCCCTAACACACGTGAACTTTAAATTTTAAAAGTCACCTTTTAGGACACTGGACCAGATTATTTTTTGTCCTCTCGTATCCAGTGACTCTTCGGCCTCTTCTTAGTAAGTAAATGCTTCACCACACAGAGGACAACATGGCTCACTTGAACTTTTTCATCACACTGCAGTGGTGAAATATATGTCGCTCCCTTGCAGGTTTCTCTGCAGCAAAGTATCGGTAATGGATCAATGGGAAAATACTAAAAGATTGTTGAGCGAGGCCATATTAGGGAATTATGAGAGCGTGGGGTTGGCCTCTCCGGCGACAAACCCCAGTGAAAAAAGCCCACTTCAGAAGAGAGACATTAAAGAAGCCACCAGGCCTTATCTTTAAAAGTGCTCCCTTCGAGGGGAAAGAGAGGAGGGAGAGAAAATGAAAGAGAAAAAGAGAGAGAGAGGGAGGTTTGTACCCAAAAAAAAAAAAAAATGGGGGGAAGCAAAAGAATGTGGAGCTGCGTGGAGAGGGAGATAGAGAGGTGCAGAGTTGAAATGTAATAAATGAAATAAATACAGCAAACTAAAATTGACACCCGCCTCGCTTTTGCTGACTGGGTAGGACAGATAAGTGAGCTAAATTGCACAGATCTGATGTTTATCTTATCGGCTGCACCGAGGGCGCTTAAACGCGGATGATAAAGGAACGCCGTGGCGTGTCATGGTGGGAGCATGTTTGAGGGTGTAAAAATATGCATCAAGAGCGCGGCAGGAGCGCTTTTGAACAAGGTGGTACGCGATGAGGGTGGCGTGCAGGCTTAATTCTAAAATTAGGCCAACCACAAAGAAAAAGGGGGATATTTGAAATAGAGTTACTTTAAATACTTCAGAAAGCCTTGTTTTTTTGCAACACACATATTGTTTTAACTGCTGCAGAGAGTGAGTCCCTGTTTAACTTTGTACTAAAGCGAAAAAATGGCTACAACCAAGGAGAAACTCGCTTTTT